ACCCCCCCCCGCCCAAACCCCCCACAAACCCCTTTTCCCCCCCCCCCCCCCCCCCCACTCTCTGCAAAGACTTCAGCACCCCCCATTCGACTGTGGTACAGCAGTCCTATCTCGAGCGGGAAGTTAGCGTCTGTGACTACATGCTAAAAAAAACAAAACACAAAAAAAATACCTGTGCCAAGCCGCCCCCGGCACCCTCCAGAGACCCCGAGGCGGGGCACAGCTGGTCGTCCCCCCCGCCCCCGCCCCCCCCGGTGCCGCCGCCCATGCCCGACGGTGACGACCCAGCTTGCGCTGTGGATTTCCTGACGTTTCCAGGGTCCTTGGTTGTGAGCGTCACCAGCGAGAGGGTCGTCAGCGCCGACAGCAGCAGCAGCCACCACGCCCGGAAGAAGGCCGAGAGCGGCGTGCCGCCTGCAGCTGACTCGCGGAGAAACGTCCACCCCAGGGCAGCGTTCGCCCACAAGAACGCTAGGTAGCCCGCTAGCCTGAAAGAGGACACAGAAAGCGAGCAAGCAATTTCGCGGGTTGTTTTGTTGTGTTTTACTGCTGTAGCCTCTCTCAAACGCATGCTGTAGCGCCTCTGCTTTGTAACGGTTTCAGGATGTTCTCCGTCTGTCAACATCAGAGGCCCCACCTCTCTCTCTCTCTCTATCTCAAACACACACTCTGTTTTTTCTTCAATTTCCCCCCCCCACCCTCCCCCCGCATCTTTGGACGCCTGTGAATTGCGGAGCCCCTTTGGAGTGAAGGTCCTCTTGGGGAAAGAGGGGTTCCGTCCCACCGTCAAGTTTATCTACCAATATCCCCAGCATCCGGGCGTTAACGCACAACCTGCCTGATGATGCTCCAGAACGCCAGCGACAGGGTATGCATACACCTCAGCTTCGGTACCCACCGCTCGGTTCGAGTACCGCGGGGCCCCCCGCGACGGGGTACGTAAGTGCAGCTAATATTTCACGCCCTTATTATAGTTGGCCCTTTCCAAATCTGTGTTTTCTGTGCGTGTGTTCCAAGTTCCAAGCAGAACGTGGCTGCAGATCACCCACTTACGTCGGATGCTTGACTGCGCCCTTCCAAACATAAAAAGTGGCTGCAGACCACTACGTCAGTCAGTTGACGCCCTTCCAAATCTCCACAATATCTCTCTGCTGTGTCTCCAAAGTTCCGAAGCAGAAGGTGGCTGCAGACCACTACTGCTGCTGTGTCTTCGGTATGTTGTTGTTGTTGTTGTTGTTGTTGTCTTCACATTAAACTCGTGTCAGTTGCTAATCCCAAAATCTAGTAAAGACTCGGTCCGTCGTCACAAAAATGCTAAATATTTAGAGCCATCAGAAGAGCTAAAGAACACGCACACTATTAGCAAGAAAAGGGTACACAAGCCCAAAGAGGTACACCTACAATCCCTTCAGCACGTTTGCGTGCCCAAAACTGAACTACACGCCCACACACTACATTCGACTACAGAAGCAGCATCACCCCCCCCCTAGTCCCACACTTTACCAAAATTAATGCTTGTCGACCACAGCGCTGCTGTCGGAAGTGCTGTCTGTACAATGACACCAAGGTAGGCATGGGAAAGCTCGGGGCATGCAGCTGCTGTCTGAAGTGCTGTCAGCATGCGTCCGTGGACATACAACGAAGAAGAACACCAAGCCTTTATTGCAATTGACAAGCACCCGAATCTATCCATAAATACTGGCGTGGGTTGTAGGCCAAAAGCCCTTGAGGTGGGGAGACTACAGTACTGCGACCAATGTTGTTTACACCGTTTCAATGGCGTGCTGGACACTCTCACGGTTCAGCACGTGGTAAAAAGAAAAGAGTATTTGTTCAGCAGTGTAGTGCATAGGATGAAAGCGCGTGCCTGCCCTATGATGGATGCTACTCTGTCGAGTGCTCTCGTCCCACTTATTATGTTGTGGGCACCAGTCTGAACCTTCGGGAATACGTTTGGCTTTGCGTCTGTATGCGCAAACATGCACGCCAGCCCGTGGGTGCTTTGCTAATCACTGCTGCGGCGACCACGGGTGTTCCGAAACACGGAGCGAGCGAGGTACGAGACTCAAATATCGGGTTGTATGTACATTAGACAGCGTACACCAACACCAGGGGGGGGGGGCGTTACAAATGAAGGTCGCTATAATATGCCGCAATGATTCCTCCAGGTGCTGATGCTTCCAGCTACTCGACTTGGGCGGGCTACGGGTACATAACAGATAGCTACCCGCCCAATATTCGCCACGTCGTTCCTACTTCACCACACACATCACTGCTGTGGGTTGATGGGCAGGAATATAGCCAGCAATAGCAGCAGCACCCACTCCTGTTGCTCATGGTGAGTGTCGCTGCAATAAGAGAAGATTGAATCAACACCTATCCTATGTACAAGGCCAGAGCATGTACCACGCCCCCACGGTGCTCTTGTTGGAACTGCAGCGAAAAAATAGAGCAGCGGAGTCATTTCTTCTCCATCTCCTCCTGCAAATCACTTGTCAGCAGCAGCAGGGTTGTCGGAAGCAATTCCCGCTGCCGGTGCAACCAGTCATCGCGCCAGCGCTGCTTTACACTCACACCTGACTCACCTTAGCGCCATGATACCCGTCTCAACGCGTGTAGCAAGTCCTGTCCAAGTGTGCGCCGTCCCTCCAACCCCCCCACCTACCGCATACCCGGGGGTGAAATATGCTGCCGCGCTGCAGCCGTGGCGGTCGTCGCGGGGGCCTCACAACCGGCAGAATAAATAAATTGGGGGGAGTATGCTATCTTTTCGTGGGGCCTCTGGGCGTTTCACGTTTCACGCCAAAGACTATGACTATAAGATAACCATGGTTATTATTTATAGTCATAGTCTTTGTTTCACGCCGTGCGTGTGGCCCACAGATGCCATGCCATGTGCGTAATGTGCGACAAGATCGAGAGTAGAGATCACCTTCGAGAACTCGCCCGCCGCGGCATAGTTGATCGCGAACGCGCAAGAAGTGCGTTTACTGGAGGTCGAAATGTAGCAGCACACAACCAAAGCGAAACAGAGCATCATTTTCGTTTTTTTCGGGTTACTGCTGTACCCGTCCGTGTCATCTACTCGGTATCTCGGTATGTAGATATATTTTGTACGGTCCCGTATGCATATGTACAACTGCTGTGGTGGTACCGAGTAGTGCCGACCGGCTCAAAATCACAATCCATTGTGAGCAAGGCTCGAACACGATGCGTCCTATTGATTGAGCTCAGGTTCCAGAGAATTAAAAAAGCTTGTTTCTTACTTCGCGAAGCCAAACAAACGCAACAACATAGGGTCCGAGAAGAAGAACGGCTGTTGCACAGCTCACGAAAGTCCACGCAACCTCACGCCCGAAGCTAGATTGATGTGCAACTCCTCGACGAGTTTCGTCGGCGTTGCCTGTCTGAAGCTTCCCTTGTTTTTTTTTACGGGAAGCCGCAAGTGCTTACTACACGGTAACACTCTCGAGCACGAGACACAGGAAAAGCAAACACTGGTGGCCAGAGGGGCAGGTTAGGCACGAACTACAACCTGGGGGGGGGAGGTTAGGAGGCCGAGTTCGACCTTGAACCCATTTTTTCTTCAGGCTTGCCGCCCGCCGTGTTGATTGCAATGACGCCACTATCCAAGATGCGGGATACCTTGCACGCTTTGGGCTGCAACCTCCCTACAACCTCCCCCCCTCAGATTGTAGTTGGTGCCCCAACCTACGCACAACCTGCCTCTGGCCACCCGTGAAGTGACTGAAGAATGAAGACGTCCAGACCGCGATGAAGACCTTGAAGCTATGGTGCCGACGATGACAAGGCCAAAGAACTAAATCCGAAGAAAACCTACGATGACAGGATGCATTCAAAAAAGAAGTGAACGCGAAAGAATCGCACGAACAAACGCCTCAAGCAGTTCTCCCCGATGGGCTGGCAGGGTCTGAAGCATGTTGGTCGTTTGGCGATAGGCTTCCACGGGATGGGCTGCAGCGGCACCGGCGGCGAGAGGGTGACCCCCGGCGGGGGCGGTGGCGGGGGAGACGGCCGGGGCGCAGGCCCTCGCGGAGAGAGCGGCAGCATCGGTCGCAGCACCGGCGGCGAGAGGGGGAATCACCGGCAGTCATGTGTTCCCCGCGACGCCGGCCGGGGGGACGGCCGGGGAGTAGGCACTCGCAGCTAGAGCGGTACCATCGGTAGCAGCACCGGCGGCGAAAGTGGTGACCCCTGGCGGCAGGGCTTTCCCCATGGCGGCGGGGGGAGACGGCCGGGGCGCAGGCCCTCGCGGCGGGAGCGGCAGCATCGGCAGCAGCACCGGCGGCGAGAGGGGGAATCACCGGCAGTCATGTGTTCCCCGTGGCACCGGCCGGGGGGACGGCCGGGGAGCAGACACTCGCAGCTAGAGCGGTACCATCGGTAGCATCACCGGCGGCGAGAGTGGTGACCCCTGGCGGCAGGGTTTTCCCGCGACGGCGGCGGGGGAGACGGTCAGGGCGCAGGCACTCGCGGTGGGCGGCAGCGTCGGTCGCAGCACCGGCGGCGAGAGGGGGAATCACCGGGAGTCATGTGTTCCCCGTGACGTCGGCCGGAGGGACGGCCGGGGAGCAGGCACTCGCAGCGACAGCGGTACTATCGATCGGTAGCAGCACCGGCGGCGAGAGTGGTGACCCCTGGCGGCAGGGTTTTCCCCGCGGCGTCTGCCGGGGAGACGGCCGGGGCGCAGGCACTCGCGGCGGAAGCGGCAGCATCGGCAGCAGCACCGGCGTCGAGAGGGGGCACCACCGACAGTCATGTATTCTCCGCCGCGCCGGCGGGCCGGGACGCGCGCACTCGCGAACGGAGCAGCGGCACCGTTGATGGGAGCGGCGACGACAGGCGCGGTTACCGTGACGGTCGCGACGGAGGGTGGACTGGGCTACCGCACGCCATGAGCCAACCCGGCAGACGGCGATCCGTCAGCAGCGGTACAAGGTGAAGCCTGCGGTCACGCGGCTGGGGTCTCGTCGAACCGATATCATCATGGTTGGGTGTCGGCGCGTGTACTTCATTATCATGCTCGCGGGCTCCTGTAGAGAACGTTTCTGCGCAGAGGAGTGACTGAAGTGCCGCCCGAAAAAAAGCAGTCCACGACCGGCACCGAGTGGACAAAAAATAACACTATTTTCCCCCCCCACGCCCCTGCGTATATTATGCACTACTTCTTCTGGGGAGGAAATCCTACTACTGCCGAGAAATGCTGCTGATGTACGTACATACATCTGGTTACGCACGAAGACAGCCAAATACTCCTAGATGAGATCACCCAGAACGCGCTCTGCTCATTTTTTGCATGCGAGCGGACCCCAGTCTAGCTTTCCTCTCCCAAGATATGAGCCGGACGGGAGATTGACGGGAGGGGGGAGAGGCAGAGGGCGTATAATCTGCGTTTTCCCCCATCTGAACATGGATTAGAACTGTTGTTGTGGTAAACGGTGTGTGTGTGTGTGAACGGGTGGATGGAGGGGTTAAACACCTGTCTGTGGGCCCGACTAGGTGACAGGATGTGGCAAGGAAACACCCCCCCCCAAAACAACCAAACAAACAAACAAAGCGTCGTCTGCGGAACTTGGGCGGTTGGCGGGGGGGCTGGTTCTCATGATCATGGACGATGGCCCCCCACACGCCTTGGATGTCTCGGAAAGCATACTGGTGTGTGTTTGAGCTACTACTGCTGTAGGAGGGGTGTTGTTGTAAGGATTAGTGGAAGGAGGGCCGAGACTTGCGTTGTGGGGGCTGCCACCGACAAAGAAGGATATAATATGTCCGACGATAATAAAAATTGTTCTCGTTTGAGGGCATGGATGAGACGGACGAAAGGAAGGGCAATGGCAACAAAGTCAACTTGGTGTCATCGTCAAAAGTCCGATGTAGACGTGTGTAGCCGCGTAGACGCACACCACCAAACCATGTACTGCAGCAAGACCCGAGGGGCAGCGACAACTGTAAAGTGCGGTCCGGAAACCTTGTTGGACATGCGGCCCGGCAACACTGCTCAAAGCAACTAGTCTAGTATTCCGACGAGAAAAGCTACGCGCATCAAAGAAGAGCCCGCAGATATTATTCCATCCAAACATGCGTCGTGCTCACGAACGAGAGAAACGAACGATGATTTGTTGCTGTCCGTGCACGTTAGCGAATGAGTTATACGCGTACGGGTGTGTGTGTGTCCAACACTAGCAGACAGAGAAACAGTATACATACCTCCGAGATACCCGCTGTGTGTGGTGCATCAACATCAAGAACAACAGCGTGAGGGATACAAGCAGCAAGCAAGGTGGGAAACCCCGCTACCTCAGCAAGAAAAAATATATATTGCTGCTTGCAAACTTATCTGAGAAGGATATGTATTCTACGTACTCGTCCAATAGAGAAAGGTGAAAATGGATTTTTTGGTGGTGGGGGGGGACCCAAAGGACCCCAACAAACTGTTACAAAATAAAAATAAATACGCGGAAAGACCCGGAGGGACGAAAGAAGCAGCAATAGCAGCAGCAGGGTAAGGGGTGGGGGAGTCGAATGAAACTTCCACCCACGGATATTGGTCTGAGAAGCTGAAGCTAAAGCTTCAGATTTTTCCTGGAGTTATCGCACCCCCTGGTGCCATCACTTCGCTGCGGTGCGAAAATGTATCCTCCTTTCCCTTTTGTTCACATCCATCCCCCGGTCGGGGCGATTACTCGGCGGGATGTCGTCGTCATCGATCGGTAAAAAATACAACTGAGAGGAGGGTAGCCACATCAGACAGACCAATCGCCTTGCGAGGCTTGCCCTGAAGTATTGGTGCGGGTGAAAGGATCCGCATCTTGGGATTGCACTGGCAAAACAACAAGGTTCTATGAGGAACATGTCCACTGGTTCGAAGGTGCCGGGGTGCCGTAGTGAGGCCGTCGGAGGAGGACTACGAAACATAAGATGAACCGCGGTAGGTAGCGGGAGTAATATTGCCGCCAAGAGCGCGAACGCTTCCCACCTAAAACGCAATCGAAGCAAAAGGGGTAACCGTCGTGTCCAAAGCACCCGGGTTAAAATCGGAGACAGACTCGGACACAGCTTGCTCACCGCATGCCGTACGATCTCTAAAATGTACACAAGAAGCCGAAGTACTTTCAAAGCCGCATCGACGCAACCAAAAGACAGAAATCACGAAATTTGTCTGCGAAAGGAGCACCATCAGCTACGTACGCCAAATTGCTGTAGCCGCACAAACGACTCCTGGCGATCTCCGACGCCAAAGTTCTCCGCAAGGTGACGCAACAGCAGCAGAAAGTTTTCCGGCCCAGTGGTTCCTCCGTCCAAGCTCCGTGTCACTTGCTGAAAATAATTAGAAAAAGAACGAGGTGGAGGCAGTTTATCAGGGGTGACCGCATTCAAAAGTTTCTTCTTGAGGGGGATTCCCGTCCACACACAAAATTGATGTCTGACAACCCCAACACTTTGGTCACCACACAACAAAAAATATCGGACAAGGCCGTACGAGTCGAGCGAATAAGCTGTAGGCAACCGTCTGCAAGCAACAAAGGGCATGGTAGCGACGCTCTTGAGCGATGTACTCGCGTTGAACCTCAACAA